TTACGTGTTACATGGTTACAGTTTTTCCCCAATGCCTATTACCTATATTAAATGGTGCTTTTCTATCTTTTATATGGTACATTACGTGTTACATGTTTGCAGTTTTCCCCAGTGCCTATTACCTATATTAAATGGTGATTTTCTATCTTTTATATGGGACATTACATGTTACATGTTTACAGTTTTCCCCAATGCCCATTACCTATATTAAATGGTGCTTTTCTATCTTTTATATGGTACATTACATGTTACATGGTTACAGTTTTTCCCCAATGCCTATTACCTATATTAAATGGTGATTTTCTATCTTTTATATGGTACATTACGTGTTACATGTTTACAGTTTTTCCCAATGCCTATTACTTATATTAAATGGTGATTTTCTACTCTAAACCAATCTGTGAGTGCCAACATCACCAGGAACATGGAGGTGAGGAAGGAGAAAGAGGGAGGACAGGGCAGGCCCAGATCCCAAATCCATCTTAAACCCTCTGACCCCCATGGACAAAACCAAAACCCCCCTGTGCAGCACTCAAAAATTCTTCCCTCTACTTTGTGACTACTTCTACTCTAATATCTAAACTTTTGTCACTCCTTGTTCTTCCTGCAAGGTTGGTAACTCATTCCATGGCTCAAACCCAAAATCACAGCTGTTTCCAGCTGTGCCAGGGTCTCAAATGCTTCTGACCTGGGCCTGGAACCTGTGGGAATGCAGAGCTTCCCTCTGGCTGCCCTGGGACCCTGGCAGGGGTCAGGAACCCCCCTGGACAGAGCCCCCAGAGACACTGGCTGTGATCTCTGTCCATGGAAAAGAGTTTTCAATCTTACAGGGTGAATTACCAGCTCTGAGTGTTTGATATCAGTAATAATTAAGTGTGGCACGGGTGCAAAAGTAAAATTTTAGGATTCTAGATGAGGGGTCCAAAGGGGACAAGATGGAGGAAATTGGATGTGCCTTGTCCTTTTTCTCCTTCTTCATGCCCTCCATGGTTCACTGTGGTGTTGGCATTTTTCTGTTGGAAGATTATGACCATTTCACCCACAATTATTTTATCCAAGATTATTATCACTGCATCCAAGATCATTATTACTTCATCCAACAGATCATGGATAAAAAAATGGATATTGCCTGATCCCCGATTTCCATCCTTGTTTGGAGTTCTGGGATCATCTGGGAATTGCAGGTTGGAGTCTCACTGAATTCCTGGAATTAGTGTGGTCAAGATTTGCCTGACTTCTGATTTTCATCCTTGTTTGGGGTTCTGTGACCATCCAGGAATTGCAGATTGGAATCCCTCTGAATTAATGGAATTATTTGGGTCAGGATTTGCCTGATCCCTGACTCTGATTCATGTTCAGGGTTCTGTGACCATCCAGGAATTGCAGGCTGAAATCTCATAGAATTAAAGGAATTATTGTGGTCAAGACCTGCCTGATCCCTGACTCTGATTTTAATTTAGGGAATTGCAGGTTGGAGTCTCACTGCATCAATGAATTATTGTGGTCAGGATCTGCCTGATCCCTAATTTTGATTTGAATTTAGGGCTCTGTGACCATCCAGGAAGTGCAGGTTGGAGTCTCACTGCATCAATGAATTACTGTGGTCAGGATCTGCCCGATCCCTTACTTTGATTTGCATTTAGACCATTTGGGAATAGCAGGCTGCAATCCCACCAAACTCCTACACCAATTTTCCATTTCTGACCACCTCCCTCCCCGCCACCACCCCAAACCCTCCAGCTGGCTCTCACCTCTGAACTCCATACTGGCAGCATCCTCCAGCAGCTCCTCCTTCATGTTGCCCAGGGTGTCCACGATCATGTCCTTCATCTCCTCCTGCTTGCGGTTGGCGATGCCCATCAGGGACTCGTAGAGCTCGTTCTCCTTCCTGCGCGTGTACTGCAGGCGCTTGGGGGTGATCTGCAGGTCCCGCTGCATGTCGAAGGCCTGGTTGATGAAGATGTTGAGGCAGCGCCCGTGAACCTCGCTCAGCCTCGTGGCAGCCTCCACCAGGTGCTGCTGCAGCACCTGCCTGGAGAAGGAGCTCAGCAGCCGCAGCTTCTCCAGCTGCTCCACCAGCATGGACGAGCCGGGAACGCCGCAGCCGCAGGGGCTGCAGGGGCTCAGGTACTGCAGCTCCAGCAGCTGCAGCTGCAGCGGGGATTTGTCCTTGCTGGGGTTTTTGGGGGAGTTCAGCTCGCTGCCGGCCTCGGGGATTCGGAGGAAGAAGATGGGGAGGGAGAATTTGTCTTTGATTTCTCGAAGCTCTGCCTGGTCCGACGGGGACAGCTGCGGCTCGCTGATGGCAAAGGTGACAACGGGCAGCACCTGGTTCACAAACTCGGCCAGGGTGGCCTCAGCTGACTGGAAGCCCCGGCATGGAGCCACCACGATGTCCACTTCCTGGGAAAATAAAAAAGGAGGAGGTTTGGAAAGGTTTTTTTTCCTTGTGGAAAAATGCCCTGGGATTTGTTCACGCAGCAAAAAAATAGAATTCTTCAAAGGAGATCTGGAGTCTCACCTGCGAGGCTGATCCCTAACTCCAAATTCCTTATTTTGAACCAAATCCTTGGAGTTTTAGCCCAGTTTAGGACCAGGATGATTCCTGGACAGCTCCAAATTCCTTATTTTGGACCAAATCCTTGGAGTTTTAGGACAAAGCTTAGGACAAGTGTCCCAGGAAAGAGCCAACACAGGAATTCATTGAACAGGGCTGTGGCAGTGCCACCCTGAGCTACCCACAGAGCAGGGCAGGGACAATTTGAGAATTCATTTATCAGGGTTGTCAATGTCACATCCCACATGCCAGGGGCAGTGGCAGTGCCACCCCAAGCTCTCCATGGAGCAGGGACAGTGGCAGTGCCACCCCAAGCTCTCCAGGGACAGTGGCAGTGCCACCCCAAGCTCTCCAGGGACAGTGGCAGTGCCACCCTCACCTTGAGCAGCGCGCAGGGCAGCACCACCTCCAGCTCTGCCACCCTCTGCGCGGGATCCTCGGCGTCCCCGGGCACCTGCAGGTCCTGCTCGGGGATGGTGTCCCAGTGCCCGCTGTGTGCCACCAGCGCCTGCACCAGCTCGTACTGCCCGGGCAGCGCCAGGCTCAGCCGCGGCCGCGCCCCGTGCGTGAAGCGCACCCGGCGGCGCCGGCAGCGCTCCTCGGTGCCCGTGCCAGCCCCGGGGGTGGGCAGCAGTTCCTCGGTCACAGTCCCAGGGGTGGGCAGCAGCTCCTCGGTCACAGTCCCAGGGGTGGGCAGCAGCTCCTCGGTGCCAGCCCCAGCGGAGGAAAGCAGCTCCTTAGTGACAGTGCCAGGCCCAGGGGTGGGCAGCAGCTCTTCAGTGACAGTCCCAGCGGAGGAAAGCAGCTCCTTAGTGACAGTGCCAGGCCCAGGGGTGGGCAGCAGCTCTTCAGTGACAGTCCCAGCGGAGGAAAGCAGCTCCTCAGTGTCCGTGCCAGTCCCAGGGGTGGGCAGCAGCTCCTCAGTGCCAGCCTCAGCGGAGGAAAGCAGCTCCTCAGTGCCAATGCCAATCCCGGGGGTGGGCAGCAACTCCTCGGTGGCAGTGCCAGTCCTGGGCAGCAGCTCCTCGGTGACAGTACCAGGTCCAGCAGAAGGCAGCAGCTCCTGGGTGCCAGCCCCGGGCACGGGCAGCAGCTCCTGGCCCAGCAGGGTGTTGAGCAGGCGGCCCTTGGCACGGCAGTTCTGGCCCAGGATCAGCAGGCACGGCCGCCAGCTCACCGAGCGCTGCAGCTGCTCCTCCTCGTGCCACGGGAACGGCACCGGGCCGGGGCCTGCAACGGGACAGGGCTCAGGGCTCAGCCCTAAAACCCAACAGGGCTCAGGGCTCAGCCCTAAAACCCAACAGGGCTCAGGCTCGGCCCTAAAACCCAACAGGGCTCAGGGCTCAGCCCTAAAACCCAACAGGGCTCAGGCTCGGCCCTAAAACCCAACAGGGCTCAGGGCTCGGCCCTAAAACCCAACAGGGCTCAGGCTCGGCCCTAAAACCCTGACAGGACTCAGGGCTCGGCCCTAAAACCCAACAGGGCTCAGGGCTCGGCCCTAAAACCCAACAGGGCTCAGGGCTCGGCCCTAAAACCCAACAGGGCTCAGGCTCGGCCCTAAAACCCAACAGGGCTCAGGCTTGGCCCTAAAACCCAACAGGGCTCAGGGCTCGGCCCTAAAACCCTGACAGGACTCAGGGCTCGGCCCTAAAACCCAACAGGGCTCAGGCTCGGCCCTAAAAACAGAACATGGCAGCCCCACAGCCCTGACAGGGGTCAGGGTTTGTCCCTAAAAAGGGGCCATGGCAGCCCCACAGCCCTGACAGGGGTCAGGACCTGTCCCTAAAAAAGGACATGGCAGCCCCACAGCCCTGACATGGGTCAAGGTGTGTCCCTAGAAAGGGACATGACAGCCCCACAGCCCTGACAGGGGTTAGGGATTGTCCCTAAAAATGGGACATGAGAGCCCCACAGCCCCGACAGGGATCAGGGTTTGTCCCTAAAACCCTGACAGGGGTCAGGGCTCGTCCCTAAAACCCTGACAGGGGGTCAGGGCTTGTCCCCAAAAATGGGACACAGCAGCCCCACAGACCTGACAGGGGTCAGGGCTCGTCCCTAAAAAGGGCCATGGCAGCCCCACAGACAGGGTCAGGGCTGCAGGACGGGGCAGCTCCCGCTGTGCCACGCACGGGGCCGTGCCAGGGGGTGGCAGGAATAGGATTTGTTGTTGTTATAGGACCACAGAATGCAGCAGCTTGGGTAGGGATGAGCCCCGGGGGAGGCATTTTGCTGCCAGCCAGGAGGTTCTGGAACAGCCTCAGACCCCGCAAAGTTCCCTCAGACCCCGCAAAGTTCCCTTAGAGTTTTCTCAGACCCTACAAACTTTTGTTCACTCAGAGAATAAAAACCTCCCTCAGACCCTACAAATGGCCCTCAAACCCTACAAATGTCACTCAGACCCCTCAAACTTCCCTTAGAGCCCAAAAACCTCCTTCATACCCCACAAAATTCCTTCACACCCCACAAACAACACTCAGACCCCAGAAATGTCACTCAGACCCCACAAACCTTCTCACTTCCCACAAACATCACTCAGACCCCACAAAATTTCCCTCACACCCCACAAACAACACTCAGACCCCACAAATGTCACTCAGACCCCACAAAATTCCCTCACACCCCACAAACACCACCTGGCTGTGCTAATTCAGGCTCAGGGCAGAGTTTAGCTCCTGTTTTCCTTTTTAAAAAGTCCAAAATCCCGCTCTGGGATTTGAGGTAAATGTGAGCTGAATTCAGCGTTGGCCTCGTGCACAGCAGCAGAACAAAAAACAGCCCCAAAAAACAAATCCCTCACCTGCTGCGCTTCAGGAACACAAAAATTCCAGAGCACATGGCCCAGGAATGAAATTAAACAAGAAATGGAGCCACCAGTCCCTAAAAAATACCCAATTTGAGAGGTACAAAACACCAGGATTGCTCTGATACTGGAAGGGATTTTACAGGGTCAAAAATTCTGGTAAAAATTGCTGCTAAAATTATTTTATTTTTTTTTTCATGAGTCATGTTCTGGCAGCCCAAATTGTCAGGAAAATAAGATTCCAGCAGGATCCTCCTCACACTCCAAACCCCATGAAAGAGATCCTACAACACATCCCTCTCCTCACTCTGACAGCTTAATCGCTCCAGTTTAATTAAAATCAGCCAAATTTGGAGCACTTTGTGGAGTCTTAGATTGGTTTAAAGCTTCTTTAAAACCCTGCCCAAGGTTTGCCTTCCCCTCAAATCTTCCAGCTGGAAATAGGGTTTTGGAGGAGTTTTTCCAATCCAAAATGAAGGAAAAACCCTCTTTGTGGCTCAGCACTGCACCTCTGCCCCACAGAACCCCAAACCCTGAGTTTGGGAATGGTTTAAGGGAGGAATCTCTCCTTGAAGTGTGATTTTTGGGATTGTTTTTTCCAAACAAGCCTTTCAAGAGCCACATCAAGTGACCAGAGGGCTGGAAGCTGACCGGCACCTCACAAAAGATAAAGATCTGGGAAAATCCCACAAATGGCACATTTGAGCCTTTGTCTGAGGGATGGCTTTGATCTGGGGACGTTCCTTGGAGCTTCTCCTGGGATTCAGGATCCGGGGCATGAAAAAAGCAATTCAGGGAGGGCTGCAGAGGCCTCTTTTCTCTGCTGGGGTTTCTGAAGGCAAAAGAGGCAGCAGAGCTCCCTTCTCCTTCCTCTCCTCCTTCCAGGCAGGCTTGGAATTGGTGGATCCTGAAGTCCAGCAAAAATATCTCCGAAAAATCACAGGGATACAGCGGCTTAAATGGAATTATTGAAGGATTGTTTATATGGATGGAGAATCCTGGGATGGTTTGGGATGGGCATTAAAGCATCCAGGGACATCTTCAGCACCCCAGGGTGCTCCAGCCTGGCTTTGGACGCCCCCAGGATTCTCTGGGAATTCCATCCCAGCCCCTCACACAGAGGAATTTCCTCCTGTATCCATCTAAACCTTCCCTCTTTCAACTTGAGGCCATTCCCCTTATCCAGGTGAAGATTCCCTTTCCAGGGAATTCCTTCTTGGAGCTACTTCGGATACTGGGAAACTGCTCCAAAGTCCTGCCACATCCATCTTGCCTCCAGGATTTAGGGTTAAAACACCTCACCTAAGGTCCTCCCAAATCCATCTTTCCTCCAGGATCTGAAGCTAAAACACCTTTCCCAAGATCTTCCCACATCCATCATTTCTCCAGAATCCAGGGTTAAAACACCTTTCTTAATGTCTCACCACAACCATCAGTTCTCCAGGATTTGTGGTTAAAACACCTTTCCCGTGTTTCCACACCCCGTGGTCATCAGGGGCACGGATCCAGGCTGGGAGGGACCCAACAAAAAGCAGGATCAGAACTTCTCCTAACACCACATCCATATTTTCTCTCTAGGATTTGTGGTCAAAACACCTTTACCAAGGTGCTCCTAAATCCATCTTTTCTCCAGGATTTGGGGTTAAAACACCTTTCCTGTGTTTCCACACCCCGTGATCAGCACGGACACAGTGGGAGGGACCCAACAAAAACTAGGATCAGAACTTCTCCTAACACCACATCCATCTTTCCTCCGGGATCTGAGGCTAAAACACCTTTCCCAAGGTGCTCCTAAATCCATCTTTTCTCCAGGATTTGGGGTTAAAACACCTTTCCCATGTTTCCACACCCCGTGGTCATCAGGGGCACGGATCCAGGGTGGGAGGGACCCAACACAAAGCAGGATCAGAACTTCTCCTAAGGTCCTCCCAAATATCTTTCCTCCAGGATTTAGGGTTAAACCTTTCTCAAGGAGCTCCCAAATCCATATTTTCTCCAGGATTTGTGGTTAAAACATCATTCCCGTGTTTCCACACCTCATGATCAGCACAGACATGGGTCCAGGGTGGGAGGGACCCAACGAGAAGCGGGATCAGAACTTCCCAGTGGGATGCAGCCACGTTCCTGGGCAGCGGCAGGAGCTGGAGCTCCATCCCAGCCCCATCTCCAGCTCCATCTCCAAGCCCCATCCCAGACCTATCCCAGCCCCATCCCAGCTCCATCCCAACCCCATCCCAGACTCATCTTGGCTCCATCCTAGCCCCATCCCAGCTCCACCTCCCAACCAGACCTCGGCTCCATCCCAACCCCATCCCAGCCCCATCCCAGACCTATCCCAGCCCCATCCCAGACCTATCCCAGCTCCATCCCAGACCTATCCCAGCTCCATCCCAGCTCCATCCCAGACCTATCCCAGCTCCATCCCAGCCCCATCCCAGCTCCATCCCAACCCCATCCCAGCTCCATCCCAGACCTATCCCAGCTCCATCCCAGCCCCATCCCAGACCTATCCCAGACCTATCCCAGCCCCATCCCAGACCCATCCCAGACCCATCCCAGCTCCATCCCAGCCCCATCCCAGCCCCATCCCAGCTCCATCCCAGCTCCATCCCAGCCCCATCCCAGCCCCATCCCAGACCTATCCCAGCCCCATCCCAGCTCCATCCCAGCTCCATCCCAGCTCCATCCCAGCTCCATCCCAGACCTATCCCAGCTCCATCCCAGACCTATCCCAGCTCCATCCCAGACCTATCCCAGCCCCATCCCAGCTCCATCCCAGACCTATCCCAGCCCCATCCCAGACCTATCCCAGCTCCATCCCAGACCTATCCCAGCTCCATCCCAGACCTATCCCAGCTCCATCCCAGACCTATCCCAGCTCCATCCC